CTCGATAAATTTTCGGTAATAGGCGCACAACCCTAAGAAGCGTCTCACGGCCTTTTTGTTGCGTGGTGCAGGAAATTGTGCTATGGCGTCTATTTGGGCCGGGTCAGGTCGAACACCCTCGACATGGAACACTGACGACATGGCCTAGGAAGCTGAATTCGTTGAAACCAAAATGACATTTTTCTGGTTTTAAAGTAAGGACGGCCAAACGTATGGCTTGGAGGACGGTGAATAAACGGCTGAGATGTTCCTCGAATGTTGCTGAGAATGCAATAAAATCGTCCATATAGACCAAGCATGTTTTCCACTTCAGGCCTGATAGTACGTGTCCATGATACGCTGAAAAGTGGCTGGTGCCGAGCACAACCCAAAGGAAGCACCTTAAATTGGTAAAGGCTATCAGGCGTCAAAAAGGCCGTTTTTTCACGATCTCTCTCGTCGACTTCTATCTTCCAGTAGCCGCTTCGGAGGTTCATTGAAGAGAAATAGGGCGCATGACGCAGCCGATCGAGTGAATCTTCTATGCAAAGCAGTGGATAGACGTCTTTCTTCGTGACTTGGTTCAATTTGCGATAATCAATACAGAAGCGCAAGCTGCCGTATTTTTTCTTGACCGAAACCACGGGCCTAAGGCCTTTTCTAAGGTTGTATGACGTCATCCGCGAGCATCTTCTGTACTTGTTTCTGAATTTCTTCACGTTCTTTTGGAGCCACACCGTAGGGGTTCTGCTGAATCAGTCGCATGTTGTCTTCACTAATGATGCGGTGCTTAGTCAATGGTGTTTGCTGGACCTTTGACGTACGCGAAAAGCAGTCTACGAATTGTTGTATAAGTTCAAGCAGGCGCTTTCTATCAGAGTGCGGTAGCGTGGAGTAGATGTCCACAGGCAAAGTTGTTGAGGCGGGGATAGTCGCGTCAATTGGTTGCAAAGCAAAACAATCCCATAGCTTGCTAGATTTGGCGGCGCTCATTGCTGAAGTTTGTGAGGAGCACTTCTGCCTGTCCACCAGTAAGCGCCAGGACGCCTCTTGCGACGGAAGTGCCTTGCGTGAACAAAAGAGCGACTATGTGCTTCGCTATCACATTTTTATAGCAAGGCCACCCACTGGACACCGCCAAGGCAGCAGGATCTCGGTGGGAGCGTCACGTCATCGGCTACTCGCAAATGGCCACGTGGTTCGTCGCTCCTGTTGTCGACATATGGATGTGTGCAAAAGGTCACCATACGTTAAGGGATGTTGATAACAGCGCCATGGTCTTGAAGAAAATCCATGCCCAAAATTAACTCTTTACAGCAGTCTGGCAACATGACGAAAGTGGCCACGAAGCGAGAATCCCGATGCAAGGTCGAGTGGTGCATTTACCCGTGGGAGTCATCAGCTGACCACTAGCACTCCTTATGTGCGGCCTGTTCATGGTGTTTTGACCTTTCTAAGGCGGTCGGCGAGCTCTTGTCGCATGATTGAGAAGTCGGCGCCAGTGTCGACCAGTGCTGTAACGTGGTGTCTGTCAATGAGAACGCTAATATCGGCATATACAACTTCATCGGCATTAGTATTCGTCGTCATTGTCGTCATATCTTCTTGCGATGATAGGGGAAACTTTTTGGTGTCTCGACGATTGGCAACCTTGCCCCCGGAGGTCGCAGCTGTTAGTTTCCCAAGAGAGGGCTAGGCGAACGGCCTCTGGTGACATCTGCGTAGCTCTGAGGAAAGTCACGGGGATGCGCAGGTGATGGATATCACCAACTACGCGGTGGAGTCGCTTGGATAGGCGACAGCTGATCGGCATCGTGGGCACGACGGTCTTCAGAGCAAAAAGAAGCGGGACGAGCAAAGTTCCCGAACCCGGAATCGCCATGACGGTAATAGCGGGCAATGTGACTGGGTTCTCCGCAGCGGAAGCAAATAGGTCGACGGTCGGCCATGCGCCATAAGTCTATTCGGCGAATTGGTGGTCGTCTTGTAGAATCCCGTTGCCACCAAGGTACGGCAGCAGGTCGTGGCTGGATAGGTGTCGCCATAAATGACGGTGAAAGACGACGGACCACATCAGCGTAGCTCGCTGGATGTGGCTCAGCACTTGGCGTGGGTGGTGTAACGGCTTGCCTCAACTCCTGGCGGACGATTTCGGCAACAGATGCGACAGGCAGTTGGGTAAGGGTAACGCAGAGGGTCCGAAGTTCCTCATGCAAAAATTTTCCTAATCATTTGTCACAGGGAACTTTCGCATATGACAGTGTTCTGAGCTGCAGCACTTACTGGCCTGTGGTTCGGCAGGTGGGTCAAAGTGTCGGCATCGTTGTTGCAGTGCGCGCTCGATGACAGTCGCCTCTCTTATGAATTCATCTACTGTTGTAGGTGGATTTCGTACGAGGCCCGCAACACTGGTTCTTAACACCCTGCAATAGGTGACGCACCTTCTTCGCCTCGGGCATGTCAGGGTGAGCTGTCCGAACAGACGGATCATACCCTCTGCGAAAATGGCGGATGTTTCGTTGGGGTTTTGCACGCGGGCCTCAATCAGTTGCTGTGCGCAATCCGTCGGTCCGAGTTAAAAAATGTAGCGAGGAGCTTTCGACGGAATCTTCCCAAGATTGGAATGTAGTCTCGGGGTTCTCGTACCACGTCGCGAGCGTCATCTTCCAGTGGCGAAATATGCACGACTAAGTTGTGTGCATGTTTGCTCCTGTGGTTGGATACAGCGACCCGTTCGACTGTTCGAGCCAGTCCTCGACATCCTCGAACTCTTCCCATAGAAAACTTCAGGAACGCGAGGATGTTCAAGAGTCACCTGCGAGGGAAGAGTGGGCTGCGATAGAAGCGCTAACCGTGGATGTCGTAGGAACTTGCCATGCTAGAAAAAGGCGGAACAGGTGCGGACACCGGACTTGGGCCTAGTAGACGCCGACTAAATCAGTGCACCGGAGTCATGATGAGGGGCTGAGTCTCTGGACTAGGTGAACGGGTTCGAGGAAGACTGTCCTGCATCAGGTTGCAGGCTCCAGCACCTCACCAGTGTCACGACGTCAGAACAGAGGTCTTGCCGCAGAGATGGAGAGACCAGAAGCAGGTAGGTCTCTTAATAGAACGCACAAGCGAGTTTTTCTTTTTCCTCAATTCATAGTCCTTCATGGCACATGCAGAACTGCCGTCTACGTTCTTGAGCAAGCATGTGACAGTAGGTTTACGTTCATGTTATTTCCGTGCTCGCTCTGTATATATTCATCATTTTGTGTGAAAATAAAATATCAGTTGAAAGTAGCGCTCTGCCTGTGTCAGTACTCTTCTACGACCTTGTGCTCATGGTTACTTAGAATTCATGGATGCAAACCAACTAGCCCACCAACGTGTTTTACCAAGTGTTCCATTTCAATCCGTGAGTACAGTACTTGAACACTCACATGCTGTCCAATCTTCTTTAGCCAACTGATGTGTAAATGAAATGATTGAGACGTTACATAAAGCTATGACCCTCTCCCTTTCCCCCCCCTTTTACAGCAGAACTCCCTTCCTGGCACGACTGCTGGTAATAACAAAGTTGTGGAATGGCGTTCTCAGCTCTTGCGGTACTGTTTCTTCTGACAAATGATGACCAGGCTTTCCTTTATATACACACATGCACTTTAGATACGAAATCGATGTACGAAGAATATTGTCACATTAAAGTGACGGTGCTTTTCCCCACGTGCAGACAAGGTGACCTCTAAATAAATAAATTTTATTAGGATAACTTGTGCCCGTAAAAGAACTGCTGTCAAAAAGAAAATATTCAGGGAAAACAATATGTGCAACTGAACATTAGTGGAAAGAGTGCTTGTTATTTTGCCAATGCAGTCTTTCTTTATTTTTATTATAACAGTCATGGCTGACTCGCTCAGCGACACCGCAAGGTGCACATGAAACATTTCGTTCCACTGTTTACGACAGACATGCCACGAACGAGCGATGGAGCAACATGCCAACGACATGAGAACAGATCTCCTCAATGAAACAGACACTAACGTAAATGCACGTGGCACGTGGGAGAACATTGTCCTGATGCTACAGTGAATGCAATACAAACAAATGTAAAAATTGCAAGAAAAAACAATTAGGAAAAGTAAACACACCATGAAACGCAGTACGAGAGTTTAACACTTAAAACCTGGGGCGTACTCAGCGTCGTTGAAATTGCATAATCCTATCAGGAACAACTTTGTGGGTGAGTAGCCCAAGGTCTGGTGTGACCTTGTCAAGGCCAAACTATTGATGGTTGAAGCTTCTTGCTGCGACAGAAACTCAGTGTTCGCACCATTACGACACCAAGTGTGAGGTCCAGGACCCGCTGTTGGAAGTTGTAATGTTTGGCATCTGTGTGTTGCTGCCTCTTGATGAGTGTTCAGGCAAGCTGGTGGGCCTCCTTGTCATGTTGTCGAAAGCTGGCAACATATTGGTTGATGTTCTCATCGTTGACTTGTGGCAGCATGGCATTTAGCATAGAAGTGGCTTCAAAGTTTGAAAGGGGTCATATGCGTTTTCTAGTGCCATATTATACGCAAAGGTAATGTGAGGGAGAACTTTGTCCCACATCTTGTGCTTGACATTCATGTACATAGCGAGCATGTTGGTCAGCGTGTTGTTGAATTGCTTCATAAAGCCATTCGTTTGGGCATGGTAGGTGGTAGTATGTTAATGACACGTGTGGCTAAAATGCAGCATCTGTTGCGTGAGCTTCACAGTGAATGCTGTTCCCCTGTCACTAACGAGGACTTGGGGCACACCATTGCCAGAGAACAATGTTCCTCACAAACTCTTGGGATCTCTGGGGCACTTCCTGATGGTAGCGCCTTTGTTTCGGTGTAGCGTGTCAGGTAGTCTGTCGCCACTGCTATTGACTTTTTTCCTTAAGACGACGCCAGAAATGGGTTAGGCAGGTCTATTCCGATTCTTTGAAGTGTTTTGTGGAGGGTCAATAGGCTGCACAAGTACAACAGGTGGGGTCTTGAGGGCTGACAGTCATGGTAGATCCTGACGTAGTGGGCAACATCAACATTGAGATGTGGCCGGTAGTAATTTTTTTTGGATCATTAGTAAAGTACAAGCGAACCCAAGATGACAGGCGGCAAGCTGGTCATGAGACACCTGCAAAATCTGTTGCCCTGAACTGTCTGGAACAACTAGAACATATGTCGACTTGTTTGGTGTGAATTCTTCCGAGTAGGACACAGCTGGCACGTTTGTATTCCTGTCAATAACGCAGCATAGGTTCGACCTGTTGCTTGTCTACAAAATTACTAGCCTTATTGGCTCAGGGGAAGATGAGTCGATGGGGTTTCGGTATGTGTGAGAATGCTTTATTCCTCAATTATAGACCACTGTGACGCCAAACTCTTATAGCAGTAAGCTGCAATGGGCCATAGCGACCAGACCGCTCCTTGAGGTTGGCGAGCAAACACAAAGCATGGTGCTCTGACAACTTAGAACGGCTTGCCATACAAGTGGGGTCGAAATTTTGGGGCCGCTCAGACGATGGCAAGGTGCTCCTTTTCGGTTGTAGAGAACAGCATTTTACCTCTGAATAGACTTGCTGACATATGGGATGACCCCTTCGATGCCATCTTCTTGCTTGAACTAGTACAGTGCCTAGCACTACGCCACTTGCGTTCGTGTGCACCTCTGCACTCTTATCGAAATAACCAAGTGTGGTGGCCAATCGTCTGTCATCAGAAGTCTTCGTGGCACTTCTCCCATCAGTGGCTTTGAGGGAAGGTTCTTACAAAACGCCTCTAGTAGGCGCAAGGACCCATGAACCAGTGGACCGCCTCAGAGGAAGTGAAAACTTTCCGATGGCGGCGGTTCTCTGTGGGTCAGGGGTCGCATAAAAAATGCATGTTCTGAAATCTTTTTTTCTTGTCTTTTTTTTTTCAGAAACTTGATTTATGTGTGTTACATTGTGCAAAAGCTTGAAAACTTTTGAGCAAATAATATATTGCAATTGAAAATTCCTGGGCTCCTTTATGAGTCATTAACATGTATAATGAACTGGAACAATTCAGAATTGTGAATTCTATTTAAATGCAACCGAATTTTGTAGCTTTGGAATGTATTTTTCTAGTATTGATAAGACAAATATCCTCGTTCGTTGCGAGGCCTCTGCATACAAACACAGGGCATCCAAGCCATTTTCTTTTCGTGTGGTCGAATTTTTTTTTTTTTTCATGTGGTCCATTTTCTTTTCATGTGGTGACTGCTGGTGCGAGAGGCTTATTTAGTTGATATTGGCGACTAAATTTTAGTTAGTTTAACTTTTCTTCATAACAAGCTTGAAGGGTCTTGTAAAACTGCCCCTCTCAAAGTGGACTCTAAGCAATAAACTTGAGATTAAAATTTCCAAAGTTTTTTTAAAAAGGTGGTGACATACCTTAAAAGACTGTTTTCCAAGAGAAGGCAGAAAGTTTGGGGAAGAAAATGAGATTAAAAAGTTTGCAGCCAGCACAGCTTTAGCTTAGTTGGCAGAACACACTGTGGGCATAGTTAGACTGATGGCGATGATGGTACCAGCGCAGAGGTCCCCCCACCAGTGCTGCAACATGGTTACGAGCAGGCGGACGTGGAGATGAAGAATGTGGATAGCCCCGCTGTGGCGAACAGGATGCGGTGAAAGCAGACCCGGACACATTGACCATAGAAGGTGAGCAGGGATGTCGGCTTGTGGCCACTGCTTTAGTCATCCTACAGGCTGTCAGGCGATTGGTGTACATCTACCTCCACGTCGGTGGAGAGCCAGGGGGAGAGCTCGTGGGCTACGACGTGGTGTGCCCAGAAGCATGCTGACCGGCTTTGCCGAGTGAGTGTTGTGCTTGTTTAAATAACCGAAGATGCATCCTCCCTCGAGCCGCTTTCAGGGTCTCAATTTCAAAGGTAATACATTGCTTTGTTCTGAGAGTAATTGCGATTAATTTTGGTTATGTCTGTTGATCATGACACTTTAGAGCATCACTATGGCGGCACGTGTTGAGCGCTTTATTGTCAGTGGAATCGCGCCACATGGCATGTACAGACAAACGATTATCTGGGCCACCGAACGTAATGATGTCACTGCTGTCTTTCAAGAAAAGAGGGAATGGGCTACCAGCTGTCACTGTGCACAACACATTTATTGCACAGCCGTGCACACATCCCAAATTGGCGACCATCAGTGTGATCGCCGACATTATATATCTGAAAACTTACTACTAATCATGGCTGTATATTGTTGCTACGGTCCTGAGAAATGATAAACATCCCAAAGCAAGTTCATGAGAATGTCTGATAATTCCCACCAATGTCTTCCATTAAGCCAATAAAGCAACAAAATTCCAATAAAGGGAGGTTTAAGGCAGAGACCTTCCCAGTGCTATTGAGCACATCCTAATCAAAGTTTTTAAAGCCCTTGATTGGAAGAGTTACGCGATGGACAGAATCAAGTGGTGCTCAAAGAGGACACGCACACCAGTGCACCACAAGTTTCACGTGTATCGCTACTTAAGAAGCAGCATGGCTACACAGGGACAAGAAGAGGACAGATGCTTTCTCACAATTAGTTCCAGTTACCAAAACTCGGACTTCCTAACAGAACTGCGCATCGGTACATAAAAAAATCAGCACGCTATGTGGCACACATGAAATGGCTTAACATTCACGAAGTAGCAGACAATAGTGATGTCTCTGTCTGAAATGGAAGCGCAACATTGAATTACACAGTCTTTATGCTGAGAAATGAAAACACTTCCACGGTTTTGCTGAATGTTTGTTATAGTGCTTATGAAAGCGTTATCAACACTGGGGCTGCGTTCGTTGCAGTGAAGGTCGAGGTGTTTGTCAGAAACCAATACTTGCCATGTGCTTCCTTTATTTGGTAGGTATTCACGCACCTGCTTGTCTAACCTACATACACGTCATGGGTATCCTATCTTATTGTCGCATTCCACATACTATGGCACAGCCCCTTTTGTCACTTTCATATTCTCACTTTACTTTGGAGAACACGCTGCCAGTTTTGTTTCTTGCCAAATATACTACCTTTACGTCATAAATGCTTGAAAAGCCCATGCGCGTATAGAATTGCACTTTTTAAAATGAAATAATTTGACTTGCTGATTCGTGCCTAGTTGCGATTTTTTCAGAAGTTTTTCGCACGATGCTCGCAAAACAGGCTGAGGGTACCACGTATCCTTCAGCCGGCAATTTAGACGCAAACCGTGCTTCACAGAATGCGAACGAGATTTTTTGTATAAAGCCGACCACAAGCAGGAACCACAGTGGAATTTCTATACAGTCTATTTAAAGGCCAGAAGTATAGCTTTAAAAGTGCTTCTTGGACATGGCAACTGTGCCCCCACAATGTGACCCGGTTAGAAATACAAGTTGACATTAGGGTACTGCAGCTTATAGTCAACCGAAACCTCTGATGTGAACGTCAGCCCACCGAATTAAACGTATGTAGAACTCTGTTCCTGAAGGAGAACACCTTTGTGACCTCACCATCTGAATATCTTTCTCCAGTTCCTTGTCTACACTGCTAAGAAAGATGGTACAGTTGAACTCCGCTACGACGAACGCGGCTTGAATGAAATTCCCGCTACAACGAAAAATTCACGATACCCCGTCAGCAGTCCATAGGAGTCAATGCATAAATGTTGTCGCCACAACGAACACTTTTTCTTCTATTGTCCCGCTTCAACGAAATTTTACAATGCGATTCCAGGCTCAGACAGTTATTGCTATGCAGTATGAGTATCTCGCTTTTTTTTTCTAGTATCTCACTTTTTTTTTCTCTTACTAAACTTATTTTGTTTGATGCTTTGAATACTAACATGCCATTCAGTGCTGTTGGGTTATATTCAGTGATGTTTTCTTTTGAATAATGGAAAGTCTTTTCACGATTTGTGCTTGTTTCTTTAGCTTGTTTTAAATCATTATTTCACGCGTATACTCATCTGATGTTCATCGCCGTTCTATTCCTATTAAAATTATTATTAATATTTTCTCATTCTTATTCCTGTGAGGACTTGTATAATAATTGACATTTAGGTCATGTTATTGTTTATATGGAAAGTGTACCAATTCATGTATGTATTCCCTTTATGCTCCCCTGATACAATGCTCTGTTGGGTCTGTAAGGTATTTTGAATAAATAAAACTCAATTTTTAATATTTCGATGCATTTTCAGAGCCTGAAAATCAGTCAACGTAGTCTAAAACACATGTTGGCACCACCAGAAACCGCCGCCATACCGCCACTGTTCAGCAAACTTGGGCGTCGCCATTGCTCGATAGCAGTGGCATTGAGACTGCCCTGCTGGTTTGCTTGTGAGCCACAGACAATTCGAAGCTTACCCCCGAATGCAGAGATGTTATTGGCTCGCTCCTTTGACTTGACGAGCAAGCCAGCGTGAAGCAAGCAGTGAACTTCAAAACGCTCAGGTCAGCCTTCGCGTTTCGTAGATGCTCAAGCTGTCTTGCTTGGTCAAGTCAAGAACGAGCTTCAAAGCAGGAACACGCTGCTCGCCTGCTAACGAGGTTACTAGTGAAGTTATTCGCGTAAAGCACGTGTTACAGTAAAAAAAGACCATACGTTTTAAAACAACTATAAAAACGAAGTGCCACAAGCATATTTTGCCATTTTACGGCTAACGAGTAACACGTGGTTCCTGCTGCCACAGGGATGCGCAGTCTTGCTTCGTTATTTATTTATTTTTTTAAATCTAACGCCACGCCGTGTATTTGTGCTCACCTGGCTCACGAGGTAACGCCATTTTCACATTATTCGTCTTTCTGTTCGCCTGTAGACGTGCTTGTAGTGGGCTAGGTCGCAGTTATATATGAAAAAAAAACAAGTTCTGGGAACAAAAGTGATTCGTAGCCTTTTGAAGAGCTTGGTAAACAAGAGGAAAAGCGGGGGTGAGGACACTGGCCTCAGCAGAATTTTGTCTCGCGGGGGGCAGCATTGTCTCGCTGCCTGATGGTGAAGAGAGAGGCACATGATCAAAAAACCTGTGATAAGGGCACCTCTTTTTTTGAGTGCGTAGAATTTTATGTAGAGTTGTGCTGCAAGCAATGCCTTTCTGAGTGAGAAACAGCGCCCTAGACGGGACGAAATGATAGACAAGGCACACAGACACAGCACCGAGTAAATTTTGTCCCGAAAGAGACGGAAAATGTCGTCGTGTTTTAGAAAAACAGAAATAGCCTTGGCGGTTACGGAACACTTCGGCGGCGTCACCACCGGGGCTATAATACGCACATGATTGTAGTCGACACAATCTGTAAAGCCAGGGAACTCAGCCACTTCACATAGAAAGTGCCGCCGGCTGCGGAAAGCACATCCAGATCGCGTACAGGTGCTTTGCGATCAGTAGCGTAACTTTTCGGACTGCACGCTCACTGTTGGACTACGAAATGCGGACAAGATTCCGGTGACTGTTTAGAATGTGCCAGCGCAGTAAAACCTGAGAGCCATCAGTAGCTGTAACATTAGAAGCACAGGCCGTCTTCGGTTGTCCACCACTTTCACGGAGCGGCAACATAGCCAGCAGCTGCCGCACGACGTTCTTCGGGAATCTGTACCAAGCGTGGAATTGTTGCTCGACGTACAAGTCCATTGAATTTCCTCGTCACGCAAAGCGGGTCCAAGAATCTTCGGCAGGCAGTGGGCCTCAGAAAATGCTACACTTATGGCAAGGCAAGCAAACTCAAAAGCGGCCACCCTCCGCGCACGTCCATTCGAAAGGTGGCCATGTTGAACTAATGCATAAAGTCACTTTCAAGCTAGCCCCGCAGCTGACTTGAAACTTGTCCTGGCTTCGACCGCAGCCAAGTCGCCTTCAAGTCGTCCGCAAGTTCGAGAACGATTTATGGCGACCGGCAAGACTCTCTTGAGTCAAGAACGAGTCAAGTACGAGTCAAGTAATATGTTTGCTTTCGGTGGTTAAGCTCAGTCGCTCAGTTCATGGTTTCCTTCACGCAGCTGCTGGGCGCAACCTGCGGAACATGCCTTTTCCGATTCCGATGCTTATCATTATGGTCGCGCTTGGCCAGTGTGGTAACTAAACAGAGCGGCTGTTCGACCACACTATCAACAAGATTAGCTAGCCACGAGTGAAAGATGATAAGCATTGCATAGAATAATGCAAAAGTCGCCGCTCCGCTTCACGATACCTTGCCTCCATCTCGACATTGTTGGATACCTTTGCGGCGGACAGCTGCTGGTGTTACGTGTTGATGCAACTGTTTCGTTGGTTCACGAAAGCAGTTGTAGTAGTTGTTACAGCTTGTTTTTCATCATGGCCTCGCTATGCATAGCTGAGAATCATGCCGTGATGCTGCTGCAAAAAATAGGAAGCAGCGGACATTTTTAAATTTTGAGAATAAACGTTTCTTTGTTTTGCTAGCTCAGATCAGCTATATTTTTTTTTATTTCACTACAACGAAATGTTCGCTTCATTGAAATTTATCCGCGCCCCATCAGTTTCGTTGTAGCGAGGTTCGACTGTATCCCAGTTGCACGGCAAACCTAATGACATTTACAATTAATGACATTAAGCAGAGCTAATGTCATTTTATCAGCGTGCTAATGTCATTTTGAAATGACGACCATGACCCGAGACTTCCTGAGCCATGGATTTGGGAGAAATAAAAATATCCAGAAAC